CGTATGACCCAGAATCCAAGAACTCCTACCTACATCTCCCCTAAACCCCAAATTGATATGTGAAAAGTTGTCAGAATCGTGGGCCCTTTTGGGCGCCTTCACCTTCAATATTTCGAGCTATATTTGACAGGAGACTTGAAGAAGGGACCGCGGCACCTTGCAACCCCAAACTATGAACCCCAAATCCTGAACCCATCAAATACGTCCATGATTTTGGGCAGTTCCCAAAATTAGGGTGCCCCTAAATATCAGGTGCTTCAATACAATCTATACCCAGAAAAAGGACATTAATCAAGCGAGCAACCCATATGTATTTATCAGCCCAGGTTTTAAGCACCAAGCATCGGCTCGCTCAGAAGTCCATGCTCAGCTCCTACGCCTATCATCAATATGATGCTCCTGGGACAGGGTTTGGGGTACAGGGTCCCTTTAGGCTTCAGAGTGTGTAAGAAAGTGCAACTACTGTAGCAGCATGTAGGATTTAGCAGGCTTACTGGTGCTCAAGTGGGAATGGTGAGTGATTCGAGGTGCAATTACAAATCAACATCACGGGGATCCGCTTCCCTACCCGCAACCTAAGCTTAAACCCTAAGACCCTGAAACCTGAAGCCCTAAAGCCCTAAGCCTCAAACCGAAGGCTACACCATTGATGTGCAGCATACTCTCGGGCTGCTTCGAGGCAACACCTGTGCTGCTGGCAGCAGGTGCGCGAACAGACCTTAGAAACTTGGTCGTTTTGTGAGAGCTTTTGTTCAAGAATTGCGTATAGGGCGAGAACTGCATAATCCTGACTTTTAGAAGCTGGCCAAGACAGCCTCGATCCAGGAAATGCGCGCGGGCTAACTGCGTTGGATTTTGCTCTGGAGGTGGTCGCTCCAGATCACATTGTGTCGGCCCTCCAGGCTGCTAATAACTCTCCCAGGAAGGGTAGGTAAGACTGGGCCGGTGTTGGAGGATACTGTCGTAGAGCAGGGTTCCTTCATGTGCCTTAGCATCGGTAGCTGCAAGAATCAGAACTGATTCTGCAAGTTTGCAGCAGCCGTATCATTTTTGTAGGATTCCCAAGTGTAGCATTGCACCATCTAGCGTGTCGTTTTGACATGGTGTTTTTCTTGTTCCATCTTGTTGACCACGCCCTTGGACTGTGCTGTGGGCAAGGTCGAGTGACTCTTACTGCACTCGCATGTGCTTGCCCCACAGACCCAGCCGACACCGCTATGCAGTGCAGGCTTACCTTTAGAACTTGCACAGGTGTTCCCTCCATTTGCAAAAGCGTGACAGCTCTAGATACTTGTGGACAAGTTGGAGGCCACCATAGTTGCAAGTCAAGTCCATCTTCTGAACTCATGGCTCATTCGTCTGGCTCTTTCTAGGGAGCCAGGGGATGCAGTCAGGGAATGGATCTTTTGTATGTCTTAAAAGGAGGATGCTGGTTCCACCGACTTGCAAAAGCCTGAAGAAGACCGGAAGTTTGCGAAGCAAATCTGGCAAAGGCGCAGAAGCAGTGCTTACCAGCTGAGTTTACAAAAGTTGCAGAAGCATTAGGCGCCACCCGAGAAATTGGTTTGATGGGGAGTCTAGACATGCTTGCAAGAGTGGCGTTACCAGACCATAGCTAGAACATACATATTGGGTGCGCCTTTGTGAGTTCCTACTTTTTGGAAGTTAGCAACTCGTCTGCATCAGACATACTGCCTGAGTCCTGATTGCGAAGTGGCATCAGTACCATGTTCATCGTCATAGGTAATTTGCAGTTGAACTTGTCAGTCGTGCTAGGGTGCCGGCGAGGGTGGCTGCGGCTTTTGGATTGAATTCTCGTTGGGTAGGTTCTGGTATTCCCCGCTGCAAGAGCAAGTAGTGTCAGCACTGACAAACCAGGCCCCAAACCGATTTTGCGGCTTCGGAGGCAAGGCTATGACCGTAAGCCAAGCCCAAACCTGAAACCCAAACCTGAAACCGGTCCTTTCGAGAGGACACACCGAGGGAAGTTGAGGTTTTCGAGGAAACGTACTTGTATCTGCGCACAGGAACCAGGCAAGCAGATAGTTGAAGTCTGGTTGGAGGCCACAGTGTAGGTCACCGTGCAGAGCATATGAAGTTCAGGTTGTGGGCTATACAGCAGTCTGGGACCATGGACTTACCAGATGGGGAAGTGTTTCTGCGGCGCTGCGCAGTACATTCTGGCGTGAATGATAGGGATTCCCCTCATTGCATTTTTGTGCTGCGACAACCCTGCTACGGTGGCACCCATTTTCCACCGACAGCGTGGCTTCGCTTATAGCTTCAGATGCCATGCTGAATGCCATTCTTACCCTTCTTATGATTATTCATGCTATTAGTAGCACTAGTACTTGTACTCATGTCAACCATGTCTACCATCTTGCCACGCCGTGGCTTTGCTCAAATCCTTTCTTTCAGCAAACCTCGCCGCTATACGCGGTTCGTGCCAGAGCCCAGCCAGCTTCTCAGCGAAACGGGTGTCCATGGAAGGTCGTCCCGTTGCAAGTGGGGTCAATCCTTGCTTGCGCCCTGCACTTGCAGTAACAATTTAAGCGCAATCTTGCGTCACTGTGGGTGGTAGATGTCGTGGGAAGCCTAGGCTGAGTACAGAATTGTAGATTCAGGGCTTCCGCCTCCCGCACATTTTGCCCGTGCTTTACTTGGGGCTGACGAGGGAGGGTGTTCTTCTCATCCCTTTCTAATGTTGAGGGAAAACCAAACACATTGGCTTGGGGTGATGACCGTGACAGTTTGTAAGCAGATGATCCGTAATCTGTTAGAGAACTGCACTTTGTTTCCCGAGCTTGCGCCTCAACGTTAGTTCCCGCATAGGAATAACTCCTCATTCCTTATCCCAGCATGTTCGCACACCCCAAAAGCCCAATTCCCACGCTACAGGTTGAGCTTTTGAAGATTGATGGTGGGTTGTGAAGGTAAGTCACCCTCGCCAAATCTTGTATGTTACGACGACAACGGTCATCACAGCTCGAAGGCTTTCTGTTTGCAGCTCCTAAGGTGTGAATTGCACCCTACACCTTGCTCAGCTTGCCCCACAGCTAGCAGGTGGCCATCACATGTTGACGCAACAAAAGTATGGAAATGTTGGAAGAGTTTGCAACAGCAATAGTGATACTGGGCCTATGTTTGGGACTTGAAGCTGCACAGCCAGAGGCATTGTTGGCCCATCTCCACTACACGTGCCGGGCAGACTGCTAGACATTGATTGGCTGATCATGACCAGTGACCGGTACAGTGTATAGCAGTTCCCAACCTCAACGTTCTCAGAGTTGAAGGTGCTAGACAGAGAAGTAGGGAAACGTTCTTGTTGTTGTGCCCAAGAAGAACGGAACATGAGATTGCTATGCCCAAGGATTCGCGTCACCAACAGTTCAACGGTAACTCAAAGTTTGGTGGCCGGTGCAGGAAGGCTTTCAATCCGTGGTTAGTGTATGTTACTGTCTAGCGTGGGGTGGCTGTCCAAGAAATCCTGATGGCTTCCGCAGGTTCAAAAAAGGACTACCTTCTTTGAAGCTGTGTAGTGTTCTCCTGTTTCCGGACATCCGCGTGACTCTACAAACATTTGCGCTGTCCTTGTGGCATAATTTAGCTAGCGGTGGAGTGGGATCTCGATTTTGTCACTCCAGACAAGTGATGCGGCGTTTCCAATGCCCGAAGTGCCAGCCAGGAAGCGTCTACCACGCGAGGATTCACCCGATGCTCAGAACCAGGCAGAAAAAACAATACACTCAAGCAAGCGGTCCATCGTCGACAGAGAGCTAGTCGTGCCCTCATCACTATGGTTTGTGGCGGAAATCCAATGGGCACGGCCGTCATCGGCATCATCATCCTCCTCACTCACTCACACGCTGCTGGGCAAATCCCAGTCTTGCGGGCGGTAGCGTCCCTCTATGGGGATTGGCCGTGCGATTGACGGCGCGCCAGAATGGCTATCTACATCAAAAGAGCCCTCGGGGACAGGTATCGCCAGTAAAAGAAAAAGAAGAAAGAGAGAGAGAGAGAGACAGAGACAGAGAGAGCTGCGAAAATGGTCAGCACAGGCGCACCCGGAATTGAGGTTAGGGCTTAAGGTCAATGTCTTGTTTGCGCAGCCAAAGAAAGGTCCTAAAGTAGCACCTTGGTGTAAGTAGATTACTTGCTGAGATTGGTGAGTCTGCAAGTGAGCTTTCCTTTGGGAAGGCATACATGTATTTTCATGTATACGGTATATTGCATGTTTGACATCAATGTTTACATTCATACATCCTTCTGTATGTGAACTCCTGGCTAACCACCCTGAGATAGTCAGGTCACAATTCTTGCCAATGGACAAGGCGGGCGTTTCCAGGATTTGGTCAACGCCCTAGTTTGGTTCATCAGGTTCCTACGTTCGGTACCCTCATCCTAAAGCCTAAACCCGGTCTGGAGGGATAGGAGAAAGCTAGGTAGTGGTACGTTCTACCACGTGTAGCGGGTGGAGTGCTGACGCTGTGTGCATGGAACCCCCCGCTGCCATTTCTAGCCTAGAGAGGCCAAGGACGTAGGACCTTGTGTCTAGAGAGTATTTCCAATTCTAGTCAATGTAATTTACAGATCATCCAGTAAGTGTGTACAGCTTTTACCTCTTTTGTCTTTGTGTGTCTTGCTTGTAAAAAGGCTGCACTGTCCGCTCGCTTTGCCGCCATGGTGACAAGCACCCTTAATCCTAAACCCTGAAACCCTAAATCCTAAACCCTGAACCCTAAATGCAACTCATGCAAGATGCCCTGCAGTTTGTGCACTTCTCACGAATACTGAGCCTCTACACCTGCGAAGTCAGCTGCTCCGCTAAATGCTCTCCATCCAAAAGCTTGAAACCTGAAACCCGGTCTGCTGACCCTTAACTTGAAGCCCCAGTCCTAAGCTATATCAGCCTTCATACAACATTGACCCTTCAAGCTCAAATCCAATCTCGAAACTTCGCTCGTTAGAGCCTCGACCCCATTTTGAGCACGGATACGCAGGCCGTCTCCTGCTTCCTGGGAGCTGCTGATGAGGAGGAAGCGCGAGATAATGCCTCCAGAAAGTCAAGGTTAACGGTTCAGCGTTACCCTGCGGATCCAATTCGTCCAATGTAGTTACTATTTACAGACTTTGGGGCCCAATGTAGGTATTATTTGTATACTTAGATCCCTAGGGTTAGGGTTCAGGGCAGGAGCGGGTCTGCGGAAAGGGTTGACGTAGATGCAAGCCTAAACTGCGCCGAGACTGAGGAAAGGATCCCTAGACGTAGCCTTGAGGGTATAGAGGGGTTATATAGTCCGAGGGCTTGTTTAATCCCCCCCGGAAAATCCGTCTTCTTCGGTCATTTGGGCTCTTGGACCTGCTATTAAAAAAGTATAGGAATGTATTGAATCTCCATGATACCACGTGCAGAATTATTTGCTATTAATGTAGTCCCTTTTCCAATTCTGGTTCTGGCTGCTGAATCCCGCAGCTTTCGTTTTGCAATTCTGGAAGGGCTACAGACAGAACCTGAAAACCAAAGACCTCACAACCAAACCCCGAGCTTCATGGAATTTGATCAGCAACAAGCAGCCACTTCCAAAAATGTCGGAGTCCCAGTCCCAATTGCCATACAAGGCTTCCAGATTCCCACGATTGCGCCTGCAATTGCTAGCATCAAAAGCCCAACTACTCAAGTGTTATTCGCGTGAACCTCTATGATTCTAGCCTTAATCTCTCATCCTTGACCATCCCAACCCCCAAACCATCTGAGCCGGTTCTACTGTGTGGGGATCTATAAAAGCATGGGTGCCCATCCAAGGATTCTTGTGCAGAGTAATCTTGGTTGTGATAGAACTGACTTTGTCGTGGATTCTAGTATACCATCCAAGGCAGCGCTACGTATGAGCCCTGAGTTAAACGCATGAGTGTTTTATTCAAGTTCTTGGTGTCGTTCCCTGGTTTCTTGTACATGCCTCCTTCAGCTCAAGCTTGTCACGCGTTTTGGGTTTTAGGGTCTAGGAATCCCTGCATCAACATTTGTGCATCAGGACATCTCAGGTCGCATCTGAGCCCTGCAGTGTAAGAGTGAAAGAGCACTGCGGTCCTTTCCTTAAAAGTTGCGTTGATTGGTTTCCATGTTTGCTGGGGAACTTGGGGGAGTGATCACAAAGAACACTTTTCTGAGAGGAGTCTAGAATTCATCCCCACTAAGCTGATATGAAACCTGCGTATGGGATTGCTACACTGAGGTAAAACAATAGCCTAGGCTTGCGGAAAGAGGCATCCAACATGAATTCCCAAACATAAGCTGCGCCTGCGCCTTCCTTTGATTTCCATTCTGGCTTTCCAACTTAAGCTTGTGAACCTATTGGCTCGATCAGGAGTCGACTCCAAAGCGAGAGCCGGCCCCAAAGGTCCGCGCCGTCCAGGGCTGCAGGGTTCCATGATTGAGCGGAGGCTTGACTCTCAGTGAGGCATTGTGTGCAAATGAGGTGTCGTGCTTCAGGGGTTCAGTTGAGCTTTGAGAGGTCCGGGGTCTTGCGAGTGGGGTGCTCCTACAAGGCCAAGCTGGAAAGCGCAACCCCCCTCCTCCGAGATTCGTGGCTGAAGCATGAAAATAGCATATCCTTCCAAGATCTTCTAAATTTCTTCATGCTTTTGTTTTGAGAAGCAGGGCCGTAACTTGAGAACGACAAAAGTGTCAAGAGCAGGGGGCGGCGTGTCGAATCCAGGGGTTGGGCTACTTAGCACAATAGGTGCAAAAAGCATGGACTGTCAACGGGCGTCATTACGTTGGCAGGACTTTGTCAGGATAGCGCAGATTTCCCTCAAGCGGCCTGGACACACGATAGATTACGTTGTAATCAGGAAGACTGCCGATGAGTTCATGCAAGATTGTGTAGACCCAGTCAGATACTTCATGGCTCAGGGCTTAGCAGATACTTTACTCTGATGAATACATGCGTATACCTGGCGTATAACTATGTTATCCAGTACGAATCCTTCATCCTGAGGAATTAGCCCTGCACACAGTAATAATTAAGGAATTAGGGTCCCATGAAGTTTGGATGTCAAGCTTTGGCTAGCGGAAGGTGGGAATGCCCGAACCTCAAGCCGTAAACCCAGAGTCAGTCTCGCTCAGAAGCCTGTGGCATGCACACATTTTTTACACAGGTATTCAATAACGCCCAAAGCAGATAGAATGAATTGCTTCAATCATCCTGAGCATGTCGCATGGCCAGCAGACAGGTCCAAGTCAAAGAGTCAACCCCTGCACCTTCGAGCATATATCCCCCGCCGCAGAAACCCAAGCTTAATGTAAGGGGCTGCGCCCACGGGCGGGCAACGCAGGCAGCATGAAGAGCGAGCCATGCAGCGGTCAGTGATTCAGTGCTCAACCTATTTTCTTGGGTTCCCTCCCAAAACACCCAAAAATGAAAACATTTGGCCCAAACCCAGGGTCTCGGGCCAAGAACCTGGGTTTGGGCCAGATGTGGTCACTTTTGGCGTAAACCCTTCCCAAAACAACCGAAAATTACCACATCTAGCCCAAACCCAGGTTCCGGGCCCGAGAAGCTGGGTTTGGGCCAGATGTGGTAAGTTTTTGTTGTTCTGGGATGAGAAACAACCAAAAATTACAACATCTGTCCCAAACCCGCGGTTCTGGGCCCCAGAACCTGGGTTTGGGCCATCAGAAAAAAGGCCGGGTTTACCACCAACAATTACCACATCTGGCCCAAACCCATGGTTCTGGGCCCAGGTTTGGGCCAGATGTGGTCCTTTTTAATTTGATCCGTCCTGGTGCCAG